CAGGGAGGAGCGGAGGTGCTGGCAGGAGCTGGAGCAGAGCGTGGGGAAGGGCAGCTGCTGGGCTCTGCGCTCCCTGGGGACACTCGGAGCTCCCAGGGGGCCAGGCTGGGCTTCCCCCCCCTGCCCCCTGCTTCTGTCAGGGCTTGTGCTCCGACTTTGTGTCGCGCTTCAGTGTGACGCTTCGGAGCAGCTTTGTCTCCCGCCCTGCAAAGGTAACGCTGGCTTTCTGGCAACAGCTGAATGGGAATCTTTTCTAGAGCTGAAAGCAGAAACTCCCCAGGTTTTGGCATTCAGCCTTTCCTACCTTGCTCCCGACAGCACCTGAGGGGACCGTGGATTTCCTGGAGCACCGTCGGGATATTACTCCCCGGGAAAGCACTCATCCCTGTTCCGGACAAACACGTTGGCGTGATTTTCTTGCGTAACACCCGCTCGATCTGCAGTTGTTGTGCTCCTTGGCAGCCTATGCTGCTGCCCTACCTGATGCTGGGGACAAGGGGCTTGGAGCAAGTAACCTCCAGAGGTCCCTTCCGACCCCATTCTCTTTTTTGGGAAGATGAGCTCTTTGGAAACGCTGACCCCACTGGGCAGGTTGTCAGAGCTGCAGAGAGACTTGGAAATCTGTCCCTACGTGCACCAAAACCTCTGCAGGGTGGACGCTGTTTCCCTCCCTACACAGGTTTGTGACCCACTGCCACCGCATTGAGTGCTCCGGCAACAGCTTCCCCCGGGCCTTGGGCCTCCACCACCCTCACCGGGTGCCTTGTCCCCCAGCGCGTAATCCCCCAGCTCGGCCCTGGGAAAGGCACCCGCAGGGCACCCTGCGAGAGAGGGAGGTCCACGCTCATCACCTCCAGCCTGGGGAGAGCTGGCAGCACCCGGGCATTGCCAGAACCGTCAGGATGGGGTGGAGAGCAGGCGCCTGCCCTGGGCACCCAGCAGGCCCTCAGAAGTTACCCGCCGGGCAGGCTCGTTCCTCTGGGGACGCGTCCCACCTTCTCTGCTCCCACACAAAGGCGCGGAGTGCAAGGAGAAAGCCGGAGCATGAAGTGGGAGAGGTGCGTGCCCCGGGGCTGCGGGCCCGGGGGTACCATCGGTTCCCCTCTGGCATAGCGACCCTCTGCCGCCTGCTCCTTTCCCAACGGGGTTTTCCTCTCACACGGTGCCGGCTGTGGGCAGCAGCCTGCGTTCGCCCACCTGGTTTCACTGAAACGTGCCCAAAGGTTTCTTGGTGACTCTGTCAGCCGCTGTTAAGTCCACCACAGAAGGAGGCAGGCGGGAAGGGACCGGCCTCCCGCCCCAAGCAGCTTCAAGTCAAAGAGGTTGCTCAGGTCCTCCTCCAGCTGAGCTTCCAGCACCTCCAGGGACGGAGAACCCACAGCCTCTCCGGGCGCTCCCCAGTACGCGACCCGTCTCACGGTCGTTTTTCTCCCTCGCGTACCCAGATGGAGTCCCCCCTGCTCTAACGTGTGCCCGCTGCCGCTCGTCCCGTGCCCTGCCCC